CCACAAAAAACACTACAGATCCATCACGGCTCTAAATGATACAATAATATACTTTTTGGCTATGGTTATGAAAAAGAACGTTCATAAAGTAAGAGTAATAAGGTATTTTCTTAAAATTATTAATTATGGTACCTTCCAAAAACAGACATCAAACAAGAAACAAAAACAAGCAACCAAAAAAAAATTAATACAAAAACAAAATAAAGCATGTACATGTTCTTGAATTTTGTACTCCACTGCATTGTAAACGATAAAGACGAATTTCTTTCGGAGGAGATGAATTAAGATTGACATTGTCACTGTGATTGTTGTTGTCAAGCCAATCATACCCGAAAACCCCCTCTACAGAACAATTCTTCGACACAAAAGACCCCCAAATATTTTTTGAGTAGAAATATCTGCTTTATTAAATCCAGGTTGCAGACATTGCAATAGAGTTTATGTCTTGCATACTTTAAAGTATTATAAAAAACATTTTCTTTTTTTTATTTTAAGATACATTTTTTTCTTTTTCTTTTTCTTTTTTTTTTTAGTTAAGAGATGGGCTTGTCCTTGGGTGTCAAATGAATTACAATTTAAACAATGCATTGAAAACAACACACACACTTGCCTATAAAGGGAAATATGGATAATGAGGCTTGACAATAATGCGATAAAATATATATTTCCTTTGCTATTGTGCCGTTAACTGAATCTGTTTGCCAGACGTTATTTCATCTAATTCTGATAAATTTGTTTCACGACATGAACTATTCATAAAAATGTTCACGAAACTATATGGCCTTCTTATTTGAATAGAGGGAGCAGAATAAAGGAGAATATTCGTAAGGTAATTTCCAGCGAGAAGAACAAAGTTTAAATGTTCTCGGGGAATTAGCTGTTTTAGGCGTAAGTTCTTATTATGGAATATGATATCAAGAAAGAATTATTAGAGCAATATAACTAAAAACCGCATAAGTAACACCGCCAGTAAGCCAGTAATTCTTGCAGGAAGTCGACAGTCTTAGATTGTGTGCCCAATCTTCCTCGTAAAGACAAACTTGTCAAAGTACTAAGAATATTAAATTCCATCGTGAAGGATTCGGGATTGTTTGACAAAAGCAGTGTGTGAGTCTGAGCTCTTTTAAGTAACTACGTGTTACTGTAAAGTCGGTAAAAGACTTTCAAAAGATTAAATAGATATGGTCGAAAGATGAGATTTGAAAAGAAATTAGATATAGATAATACGAGTATTAAAAGCAGCTAAAACTAACACGTTTCACTATTAGTAAGATCTGGAATGGCGACTTATGCGTTTAGCTGACTGAAATTTGATTAGGAAAATCTTTTCTTCAATATACAGGATGGTCTAAAGCTGGCATTCCATATGCCCGAAAAACCGATGCGAACTTCGGGTGCGAATTTCGTGTACGAAATTCGGGTGCGATGAAAAAAGAGCCCTCCTTCCATATACGCAAAATTCGTATCCGTCATCTGACTGAAATCAGGGCACCAGTTCAGTCAGAGCAAGCTCTCTACGTTGAAAACAAGAGAATTTTGCTGTTAGAACTCCTGTTCCTACGAAAGCAGCTTTAAATTGTTTTGTCCAGACTTGATGATGGTCCTTCCTTCATAATAAGCTTTGCTTTCTTGAGTCGTTTTCTTTGCGAAGCTTCGGTCCTATCACCGACAGCGCTGGCTGATGTGGCTGCGGCACAGACAGCAATCTTAAGTTATAATTAATGTATGTTAGAAGTTATATTCAAGTGCATTTAATTAAGGAGGGGGGGGGGTGTAAGTGAAAAGCTATTTTTAGTTATTACATGATTTAAACGATAAATGATAGCATAGATAGATTACATAGTCTCCCGAAAGTTTCCCACAAACTAAAAAAAAAGTGGTTGCCATGCAAATGACAGCCACCTTGAAAATAAACACTTCTTTTCAGTCTTGGTTTTATCACTTCTCTCTCGAACCAAGGAAATCAACATTTCGACGTTTTCCCCACTTATCTAGTGCTTCTATCATGTTCTATGCTGCTTCGTTCCTTTGAACTTGAAGTAGATTTGGCGGGAAATAAGCCCCGCCCACTTCACGAAGAATTCGCATGCGAAGAAAAAAGTTTCGCTCCCTCGTGCGAAACAAAATCTTCGCATGCGAATTTCGGACTCGGCCATGCGAAATTCCGGTATATGGATTCACCCAATGACAAAAACGTTGGTGCGAAAAAAATAATTCGCAAGCGAAATTCACACCCGAAGTTCGCATCGGTTTTTCGGGCATATGGAATGTCAGCTTTAGTCTTGCTTGTCACGTCAAATAAAAATGTCTATCAAAGCACGATTCATTAGGAAGGGTTTTTCGTTTGTTTTTTTGGTGGGGTTTTTTTTTGGGGGGTGATTAGGGTGATGTTTTCTTAACACAAAACAGAGTCAATTTAAATACCCGTCTCTCCTCAGACAAATAGATAACAATAGGTCTGACTGGCGGTTGGTCTAGTGATCAATGTTTCCTCATTTTGTTTTGTTTTTTAAGCTTTCTAAGAGAAAAACAGATTTTATCTCTCACATTTCAATAAAT